AGGCTGCAGTCCTTGACCCTCTGCAGCAGGTGCTTCAGGTCCTTTTCAGTTTCAGCAAGCAGGGTTGTGTCATCCTCATAACGCAGATTGTTGATAAATTCTCCACCAGTCTTAATGTTTATTAAGCACCACCAAATAAGCTGTTTTCCTTCTTCCTTCTTTCCTCTGCCCTTTATTCCCCCTTCCAACTCCTCATAATTGTATTACATGAGAACAAATGGTGGGCTTGCTTCTGTTTCTTTCTAGCTTTCTTTTGTACCTACCTTTTATTGAGTACTTATTCTTGAGAAACCTGCCTTTTGTCATACATTAGAGAAAGGGAGCTCTGTTGGCTTATTAGTAAACACTGCAAAACTCAAAGGTATACACTTCAAATCTACCAGCTGCTTTGCAAATAGAGGGATGGGCAGTCTCTTCCTATGCAATTTACTGCTTTGGAAAACCCACTGGAGGATCAACTATGACTCAGTTCCAACTCCACAGTATATAACAAAAGCAGCAGGGAACAGGAGGAGCAGCATGACCTTAAAATAAATGGTTTACTATACAGTTGATCTATAGCAAAGGTTACTGATAACCTGAGATCTAGACAGCACTTAACAACAAGCAGTATGATACACGCCTTTTGTGTGTTATCTCTTATTTTTTAGAACCACCCTCTGTGGTGGCTATTACTGATAAGGAATGCTAGATTTAAAGAAGTTATAGCTTACTCAGCCTTTCAAAGCTGGAGCTTGAATTCTAAGTCCGGAGTGTCTTTCCCTATACACCCTGATGATGCCCAGTGATAGGAAAGCTGTCTGGCTTCACCTCCCTGATCTCCACTGTTCCTCTCCACAGCTCTGAGAGACTCTTTCAGAGTAAGAGTGACTCTGTTTTTCCTGCGTCCTATCTATTTACTAGATTCTTTCTCCCCACATCCCTCCTTCAAGTTTCTTTTCATTATTTTTTAACATTTTTTTTAACCTGCAAATAGATCTTTGTATCAGCTTTATCTTCCTTAGCATTTTTTCTATTTCTTTTTCTATCTAGGCATTGGTGAGATGAGATGGACTGGCATGGGGCATTTTGAGTCGGATGACCATATGATATATTACTCTGGAGATGAAAAAGTGAGGAAAAA